TGGATGGATGGATGGTTCCGGGATGGATGGATGGATGGTTCCGGGATGGATTCGCCATGTATTGATGTTCGGATCGAGGATCGTTTGTAACAGTCTGCGCTGGCCTGGAATGCGTTAAATGGATGAAATATCTCCCAATAAGTTTTGTAAATTTTCAACATTTTTTTGCGATTGAATAAAGAAATTCAAATTTTTTGCTTAGGGATGGGTTGCTACGAATGGCCGATTCGATGGATACAAATACAGGCAGCTTTTCGATCAATTGTGCCAATTATATAAATAAGAGTTGGTCGGACCGATTTCGATTTCAGCAGCCTTTATTCCATACGTTTACAGGCTAATCCATCCGGCTGTGGACTTACATTCTCATCGCCAAACTTTCGCAACCCGGTAAGGTTTGGCATTCAACACACCGTCACCTTTTTGGTGTTAGAACGCACCAAACCAAACAATACACGCTGTCGAAGTGTGTTTGCGCAATCCCTCCTGGTATAGCAGTAGCATGGCCTCGCTTCATTCCACTACACACAGCGCACTTCACCAACTAATCCTACTTTTGAACGCCTTTTCCATCCCCCAGCGGGTAACCCCTGGTTCCGCCTCAGGTTCCAGCCTCATAGATCGAGAAGACTGGCTGGAAGAAGACATCCTATAATGTGTAGTGGGAGTGGTGGGCGGGAAGTGGAGGTTATAAAACATCAAAGTTTTATTGGCTGGGGGGGGGAGGAGGCAGTGCCTGTCTCTTCTTTCAAGCCAGCCAGGTGACATCCGCTTGTCACCCCTGGACGGAATTTATGCCATCTTGCCAACCAGCCCCCGAATTTGAGCCTGTTTGGGATTGAGGCAAGTAGGCTGCTTAGAATTTGCAAATTTATCGGCGAATTTTTTTTGTTTTAATGCTCTGCAAGGAGGTCGTATTGAATGAGTTTTATTGTCCCAGGAAACACACAAAAATTTGGCAGTAGAACAAAGTAGACAAGCGAAATATATATTCACATGTTTTTTCCATGTTAAAACATTTTTGCAACCCCAAAATCTAAAAATAAAATTTGAGAATGTTTGGCCATTAGGTCATGACTTGGGGAAGATTAAGCGGAGAGTGAAAGTCCCACGTCTTGACCCTGCTGAGTTCTTGACCGAGACGTGGTGCTGCGGATGTCCGATTTTTGTGTCTCTTGAATTATTTATCTGGCAAAAGTTGCCCATTTTCATCTCAAGAAGAGGGTTTTTGAATAAGTAGCGGTTCTTTCCCCTTTTTTCCCCACATCAAGGAGGAAAACCGCGCACTACACTTGGATTTAAAGCTCTATCAATGCACACATGCGCAGTTTGTGGCAAAAGATGGAAATTGTGGTTCTGCAGAGATCACGTCAGCAGCCATTTTGTCCCTTGTTTCCCTCATCCATTTCACTCTGGGTGCAGCAACACCTCTCCGCCCCCCGCCCGCACCCCCGCCTTCAAGTGACAGCACTTTCCCGCGTATTTTGGTGTCTGGTAGACCATTGGGAGGGAAAAAGGGGCGAGCAAGAAAAAAACAAAAAAAAAAAACTTCTCTACGAATTTATTAATAAACCAGACTGGACGCATAGGCTACAAGAAAAGGGGGTTTGTCAAATTTCATATCTCCTTATTTTTGCCCGAAGGTAACAAACCCTTGCGTCCGCCCATTGTTTGTTAGGCGACGGTGGGTTACAGTGCCAGGGGAGTGCGGAAGGAGGGCTGGAGGCACAAACAGGCTTGTGGACAGCAATTGAGGAGGCAGGCAAATGGTTCCTTTTAGGCGGAAGTTCCCTTCTGTCGTCGGCTTCACCCATTGGTCACAACACCGAGTAACTAATCGGTCCTTCGCGCTTTCCCTCGTAAAACATGTTATTTCCTCAATTTTTCTCTCCACCGATACACCACTCTCACTTATAAAAATTTTTTTCTATTTCGATTCTCGTCAAGGGGTGTGGGACCTTTTGTTTATCCGAGTCAATCAAATTATTTCTCGCAAAAGTCCTAAATTGAATTTTGCTTCGCTAAACCCCGTTACAACCCAGTCTTTCTCAATGGGACAGAAGGGGCTGAAAAGTCCACTCACATCACGCGGTTTTGTCTTCGAAGGCAAGTACGCAAACCTGGTCAATGCCAACTCCATTTCCATTCCACTTTCGCTTTCTTGATTGCCTCCTCTGGCCTCCTTCATATGTAATTTTGCCACGCAAAGTCGGTAGTTGTCATTTGAAGCCCTGAAAAGAGTTGTGGATTTGGGAAGGGGAAGGCAAATGTGAAGATGGATGAGGGCAATGCGGAAGTGGAAATGATTTTCCCATCTGGAAGGTTGAACGCCCTTACGTGTAAGAATTGGCTCTTTATTGGTAGGGGTGAATGGGTGACTGCATGATCCATCCATCCCGGATCCATCCATCCATCCATCCATCCATCCATCCAGTCCAGTCCAGTCCAGTCCAGTCCATCCATCC